CGATCACGGAAGCTTACGTTGTTCCGGGCGTACATCATAAGCAAATTACTCTACGGCATCGAGAAGCTCTGCCTCAAGAAAGCTGACCGAGACAAGCTCGATGCCTTCCACGTGCAATGCCTCCGGCAAGTCTTGGGCACTCCGCACCCCATGGCGTCGCGGGTCTCGAATGCAGAGGTGCGACGACGAGCGCGCGAAGTGGCACTGAGCCAAACAGTTATTTTCCGACAGCTCTTGTCTTTTGGCAGGATCGCGGCCGTGCCGGATTCGCTCCTCAGACGCGGCATTTTCAGCGCAGGATCTGTCGGGCCCGCCAGCTCACACGCACCGAGGCGGAGAGGCCGACCCCGGTTGACATGGGGCTCAGTGGTCAGAGCGCACGCCTTTTCGGCGATCAGGGGTCTCTCATCCTTCCTCTTCCTCGCCCCCCCGCCCCCCTCCTGCCCTCCCTCTCCCCGCCCCTTCCCCCCAAGAGAGCGACTTGCTTCAATTTGTCAGTCCTGGACGCTATAACTCGCACGTGTGGAGGGCAATCGCCAGCCGGTGCACCTTTTCTTGAACTGTCCTTGATTTATGTGCCCTGGTCTGGGCATGCGCCTCCAGCCGGCGGCACTTCTTCAGCCGATGTGTCGTGCAGACACGGCGTTATTGATTGATTGATTGATTGTCGCCGAGGGTTCCGGGTCCATGATCACAGACCGCGCGCGCCATTCTTCCCTTGCCAGTCGTGCTGATCGTCGGGCTCCATCAGTGCGAGCCGAGTGAAGTGCCCATGGTTCCCTGGCTGATTCCGTCGACGGATTCTTTGTCGAATGTGCCTCCAAGGTCCGACAAGTGCTCGACATCGCCTTTCCGGCCAGCCTCGTCTTCGAGAAGGGCCCCGACATGCGATCGAATGCTTGCGTCGCGCAGGCCGATGTTCGCCGATACTACGACAAGTTGCAACTTCTCCTTTTCTCCCAGTGGATGGTTGTCAGCGGCGTCATCGCGGCGCTGGCCATGGCCTTTCATGACCCTATAGCTGCGCCCCGCCATCGCATTTGCGCAGCCGCGTTGCGGGCGCCCTGACTGGCAGCCGTTCGTCGTCAGCTGCCGGGCGGGTTCCTGCACTGGGCGCGGCATTGTGCGTTTCTGGCGCATGGCGTGGGCAATGTGTTTCGGCCGAGGGTTTCGCGCGTGCTCTTGCCACCATCGTCGACGCCCTGGTGTCTTTCGGGCCCTCCCCGGAGACTGCGACCACCATCCTCATCGACTGCGGCACACTTACAACATTGCTGGTTGTTGGAATCTGGCCAGAATTCGACGGGGCGCATGGCGCGCCAGGGCTACCCAGACGGCGTCACTGTCGCTTCCGAATGGCACTGGCGGACGGCATTCAAACTACTCGCAAACTATGTCGATTATAGTGATGGCGTAGCAAGTTGCCTACACTTGATTATCCGCGTCATGTGGACGGCTTTCTGGGGCAACCTGTCAAAGGGACTCGCGAGAGCCCCCATCAGCACAATGTTGCGTTTCATGCAGACCTCTACGAAGCTCATAGTCCAAAGCGTCTCTCCGTTGGCTCTGGTGGCCTTTCCAGAAGGGCGCCGCCGACAAAATCGACGGCATCCGTTGCGCATCCTGGCCGGAGTGAGGCCCAGGGCCAATAAGCCCCGGGCCACGTATGCGTAGCGCCGCCAGAGCATCGTTGGCGGCTATGTGGCGACCGCAGGGAAGTGGAGCCGTGATTGGGCACGCTCCTTGAAGTCCTGACACGATCGCGTCGAACGGCGCCGCGACCCACTGGCTTGGTCGGGGCCCCTATTGCAGCGGCGCGCGGGCGGCTTGCTAAAACGCCAGCGCGAGGCGGCCTCCTGCGCCAACGACTCGCGCACTCGTACCAGAGTCCTTCGTGCCCGCCCACAACGAAGCTGGGAGGAAGGACTTCGGGATGCCCTCCCAGCCGCGGCGTAAAGGACTGGGGCATTGCACGTTGGAGATCTGTCCATGGTTTTTGTGTTTTCAGTGCCTGTCCTCGGGTTTAGGTGAATGAGGCGGGCGTTTGCTCAATGTTTGCCCCTGCCGCTCTGCTCCCCCCCTTCTGTCCCCCCCTCCCCCTTTACAGTCTGTATTGTGTCTTTTCTTCTGCGTATATTATTTCAGTTTTGCATCTGTCAGCCCACAGTTTGTAGTATACCTTGTTCGCCTCCGCTGCACATGAGACCGGGCTGTTTGATCGCCCGCACAACAACAACAACCGCTGGGCCAAAGTAGTCGCCCCAACGGCGGTGGCCGGGGGTGTCCCGCCTTGGTGTCCCGATGGTGTTCCGTGCTGCCCTGTGGTGTCCTGGAGTGGCCTGTGGGTATCCCGTCGGTGCCCCACCGTGAGATCGATGGTGATATCAATAGTGGCATTGATGGTGATATCGATATTGAGGTCGATGGTGAGACCGATAGTGAGATACATGGTGCAATCGATCATGCGATCGGTTGTGAGACTGCATAGTGGGATCGATAGTGGGTGGGATAGTGAGATCGATCGTGAGACTGATAGGGGAATCCCTATTGATATCGATCGTGATGTCCCGCCAGTGCCCCGTCGAGATTGACAATGATATCGATCGTGAGATCGAAAGGGATAATAACATTGAGATCGGCTGCGAGATCGATAGGGAGGTCGTCAGTGATGGCGGGCGCAATCTCGTTTGTGTATTATCAAAAGTCATACCGACCGTGGGAAGGATCGTTAAATCGATTAAGAGACCGAGTGGGTGAGACGTTGAATCTTCTCCCCCCGAACCTCCTTTTCACCCGAAAGGGAGGTCGGACGGTTTTTGATCGCTGCACCCAACGAGGGCGCAGTAACTCGCACTCGCTTTTCGACTGAACCGACGTTCGTGCAACGAGCTCGGCGCCCCCGTATGTGGTGGATGCTTGTCTCCGTGTCTTCGACCTGGCCGCCTTCACGCCCTCATGGGGGGGCGCAGCGGGGACAGCCCACGGGCCAGAAGAACTCCTTCCTTCTTTCTGGCGGCCTTTATGGTAGCACGATGACGGCATCGCGTTCCCCCCCGGTTCTTTCTGGTCCATCCCCGTGGGGGAGTGGCGCAGCCGATTGGTAGTAGCATCGAAGTGCTCGAGCCCGTTGAGCGTGCGCCCTGGCCGACGGATGAAATGACATGACACGGCCTCGGGCGCGTCAGCCGTCCGCACTCTTTGGATGTGTTGTGAGATATCACGCAGTTGTCGAGTGGCGTGGGCATAATGGCACAACCAGTGCCGAGCATCTTTGGAAAAAAGGGAGGTTTGTTGGAGGAGGAGCAGCAGGAGGAGGACGGGGACTTGCTGGTGGAGGAGAAAGCTGGAAGGATGTGGAGCAAAAGGACAACGTGGAGGAGCAGGAGCAGGAGGATAACAAGTTTCCAGAAGGGGTCCTGAGGCTTCCAGAGAGCCAAGAAATTCAACAACGCCATACGCAACAAACGTGTCAGCTCGAAGACCCAGGAGGGCGGAAGGCAGTGCGGCTTGTTCGCTCCGCGTGGACGCGGCGGCGCCCCCACCGCTAGCGTTTCAGGTCGAACACCGCCAGTGCCTGGGAGCCGGCGGATGCCGAACGACCTGCGCTGCCTGAAAGCCGCGAATCCGCGCGGCGTCGGACACCGACGCCGACGTCGCCACGACACGAATCTGCCATGGCAGACATCCGGCGCCCTGATGTCTTGCTTCGCTGCCTGGGCCGGAGGGCCTCTCGACGCCTTCCCCTGGGCGGCTTTGATCCCGAGCAGTCGGTTGACGGCCCCGAGGCCAGAAACTGGCGCCCAGAGGCCCAACGTTCCAGGCACCCCAGATGTTGCCATAGTATTTGGGGTTAGAGGATCGCGCCACACCGCCGATGCATCGGCGACACAGCGCGATCTGAAGCCCTCTTTCCTCCATTCCACCGCCGCCGATGCATGGGCGATGCGGCGCGATCCTCCGCTCCCATGCGCTCTGGCCCCATTCCCAAATATCCGACGATTTTTGTTTCAGCACGCGAACCCCCTCCTCCTCCTCCTCCTCCTCCGCCTCCTCCTCCTCCTCCTCCTCCTCCTCCTCCTCCTCCTCCTCCTCCCTCCTGCTCCTCCTCCTCCTCCTCCTTCGCTACCTCCTCCTCCTCCTCCTCCTCCTCCTCTTCCTCCTCCTCCTCCTCTTCCTCCTCTTCCTCCTTCCGTAGCCACTTTGGCTCAAGCCATTGCGGCTCAAGCGAAACATGTCCCAAGGTGGTGCCAGCAACCAACTTTGGGGGACCTGCCCGCGCGGCCCTCGACACCTGTGCTGGCAGGTCCCCCGTTGTGAGCTCCTGGCTGGAGCACCCGCGCACACGACCCGCACCCCTCTAACCGACATCCGCTCCTCGGAACCAGTTTCAAGTCGGGCCTGTCCCTCTACAGGAGGAGTATTCAAAAACAGTCAGAAAATAGTCGGGGGCGATGTTTGTTTGAAAAATATGTTATTGCAAGTCCTGTTTTTTTCCAGCATTTTTGGAGTGTTATTTGACTCGTTTTAATTTTTCGTCCAAAGTCCCCCTGTACGAGGACACGCCCGACCTACAACCAGTTGCTGCCGCCGTGGCCTCTAGCACGGCCGACCCGCTGGCCGCCTGCGACCCGTGGGGCGCTGTCGCTGCCGCGTCCCCTCTCGCCTTCGGCCTCGTCCGCTGCTTCCTCGTCGGCTGCGGCGGCGCCGTCCTCGCCTGGTGCAACGTCCGTTGGGCGCGCGGAGAGGCCCACCACGGAAGAGCCCGACACGAAATGCTGCGTGAAGATCATCGAGGAGGACGCAGTGGCAGCTCACACGCAGGGTGCCGAGGAGGAGGACGCTACTGCCAGGGGTTTCGTGGACGCCGGCGGCGTTTTCACGAGGGAGGATCTCGCCGACTCGCGGGCTCCAGTTGGCGGCCCGGATAACGCAGCTGCTCTGCCTGCAGCTGACGGCATTTCCACGCAGTGTTCCGCTCGGTCAGCCCGCCCTCGGGCACGATGTCCAACGAGGTGGGCTCTCCAGCTGGCGTTCGGTACCCGCGCAACGGGCACGTTGGCCAGCCTCACGTTGTACCTGGTTACATTCCACAGCGGCTTCGCCTGGACCGACTGGCGACGCGCGTGCGCTTCAGGATGTTGCCGCACTTCGTGAGGTTGCCCCAACAGGTGCACAGGGTGCTCTTCTTGGCTCCGCAGGTGCCCCCATCCAGCCTGGCGGACATGCGCACCGTGCTCACCGAGGTCATCTAGAAGGGTCAGGGCCCGCTCCCGTCCCAGGAGCCCCAGGTAGGGCCCATGCCGACCACGTTGGACGAGGTACAGCGCACCGTCTCGGTCACCGAGGCCAAGAGTGAGGCTATGCAGGTGCAGTTTGACGCGCTCGAAGCCCAAACCAACGGCTGGGCGGACACCGTCATGGCGCTTGCGGACTGCACCGACCTGAGCATGGAGGTCAATGAGCGGATGGTGCCGCAAAGCGTGCGGTTCGACCAGAGGGCGGTCGTCCTGGAGCAGCAGCGTTCTTCTTCGACTGGCACTTCCACACCTACGCTGCCCGCTGGATCTACAGCTCCAGGCTCTGGGTCCTCGCGTGCCTCGTAGGCTAGCTTCTTCAGTCGTGCTGAACGGCTCGCTGGGACCTCCAATGTGTGGGTTGTTAGTTTTCCGAGGGCAGAGGCAGCCAGGGTCACGCGCGCTCGCGCGGAGGCCCCTGCCGCCAACTTGCCTGCCTTCCCACATCAACAAGCCCGAGAAGCGCAGGGCCGACAGTCTGAACCGCTGCTACTCCACGACCTTCGCTTCCGCCGACGACGCCAAGCAGTTCGTCAGTTTTGCCGGTGGTCGCGGGCTCTCCTGGCGCGAGGCGTTGACCGATTGCAGCGCCAATCAGCGTGCCCATCGAGTGCGCCAGGATGGACCACATGGGCTTCGTCGCAAAAGCCGCGCCCCTGGCCAGTGCTCGCAGGCCGCGCTGAACCACGTGAATATTCGCAAGGCTTGGGAGCCCGACGTCACGCAGCTAAATGTTATCGGGCACCGCGGAAGTCTGTTCACCGGCACCTGCGATGAGGCCCACGCCCTCTTCAAGGTCGATGTTGACCACCTTGGGCGGCCCAACCTCGCCCGCAACAGGGGCGGCCTCGAGGCCCTCAGCCTGAAGGTCAAGGACCCCTGCCCCGTCATCGAGGCCGGTTGCCAGGATTTTGACGTCTAGGAGGCTGATCTGATGTTCCAGAAGCTCGCGATGTCCAGTCGCGAAGACACGCTTGTCGAGTGCGCGGGGGCCACTACCATGAACAGCATCCGCAGTAACTCGGTCGCTGTTGACGGGGATATCGCTGACGGGTTGGATGCAGCTTCGCGTGCTGGCGGCGCTCCTGCGATTATGCCTTCGCCATGTCGCTCTCGACTCGGCGGCGCATCCCATGCGAGTTATGCCGCGTCGGGCCGTCGCTCGGGCCGCGGCGGCGACTCAGATAAGGATCCGCCTGATCTGTCGGCCCACGCTGCCTTCTTCCCTTCGTTATCATTATCTGTCATCTCGTGGACTTGCCAGTCTCTCGCTGGTGTTGTTTCGGCCGCGTGCAATCTCCGGCGCGCGCAACAGCGCGCGCTTAATTTGCTTGGGAAACGCCTTGGCGCATGCGCGCAAGAAGCCTGCGGCGCGTATGCTGACCTTCACGCCCGTCTGCGGGGCCTGGCTGATAGCGGCGGGCCCGGGTCCTTCTCTGATGCGACAATCACCAATGGCGTTGTGCACTTCGCCCATCCTTCTCCGCGCCGGCAGCTTCCCCGCATCCACCGCGCCACGCTGCGCGGGGGGCGCGCCCGGGCCGCCATCTTACACCGCGGCGCGCGCGCCCCGTGCATCGACGACGCGCTGAGCGTTGCCGAGCAGAAGCGCATCCTCAGCGCCATTCGCACCTCGCCCCCTCCGCTGCGCCCCTGCTCATGCAATGCCTTCGGGGACTGCAGTTTCTGCGCGAACGGAGAGGGCAGCTGGCAGTTTGGCGCCGCAAACAGAGCTGCATATACTGCGCCCGCCAGCTCTGGGAGCACACTTCAATCACATCTGCGCACTGTTCGCTGAGATCGAACAGCCGCACCATATCCAAGGTGAGCGTCGTCGTCGTGATTTTTGCGTCGGCTTCTCGTCTGGATCGCATCTGCGCCCCTTGGGCCACAGCGGCCCCCGTCGATCTGAATCTTCCAGCGGGGCCCGTGGGTGCGAGATGGACGTGGACCGTATGTGTGGTCATGTGCCTCTGGTGCTTCCCTTGCAGCCTCGGCTTGGGCCCTCGGGCTCGCGCGCCAGCATGGGTGGCTCGCCGCTCTGAGTGCCCTGGCATCTCCCAGAGGGCCCACGAGGACTCCCGCGCGCTTTCGGAGGGTCTGGACGAAGCCGCTAAAAAGATCGCGGACATCATTGGATTCGCAGCTCGGCAGGTCAGGCACGCGCTCGAACAAGATGGAGCGCGCGCAAATGCTGAACGCGCACCCAGGAGCCCGGCTGCCCTGCGCGGTGCCCGCTCTGGTTGTCCGCCAGTCATTCAGAGGGCCTGCTGGGCGCGTGCCAAGCTAACGGGCTACGTTCGTCCTCCTCTGGGACATTTGTCCTCCGCGTTGGTTTTGGCGCGCGCCTGGGGCAGCTGAAGGCTGACGTGCTCAACCAGGAGATCCAGGAAATGCAAGGCGCGGCCATCCGCCCTGGAAGAAGTCCACAATGGTCGAGCAGCTCGCTAGTTATCGGACTGGGTGGGAACGCATTCTGCGGCAGGTGAGGCTTCAGGCCGCGGTGGGCCCGTCTGGTGACCCACTCACCGACTCCGCCGATATTGCGCGCGAGTTGGCTCGGCAATGGGGGGGCGGAGAGGTAGCGCCCTGCCGCTGCCGCGGAACAGAATTCGTCTCGGTTCTTCCGCGCAGGAAGTCCCTTGCGGAATCTTCTGGGCCCTTGAATTCGGTGGGTTCAAGGAAATCGCGATGCGCGTTCGGGGGCCCGCCGCCGGGCCCGACGGCGCCCCTTGTTCTGGATGGGCGAGGCGGCGGAGGTGGTGTCTGTCATGCCCTCTGCAACCCCAGTGCATCCACGCCCTGGAATAGGGCGCCATGCTTTTCCGAGCGAAGGGCGATTCTCATGGGGATCAAGAGGCGGCCGCGGCGCGCGACGCGGCGCGGGCCAGGTCGATCGCGATGTCGATCGCTAACAACGAGACGTTCAGCCAGGCCCTCAACCAGCCTCCAGCCGAAGTCCGTCTGCGCACATGTACCAGATTTCAGAGAGGTTTCGTTCGCAGTTTGCACGTGCGCAAAAATGTTCTTCAGCTTGAGACGAGGCTCGTCCAGCACGTCGCGCATCGCGCCTGCGACTTCGGTGGCGGTTGCATGTGCGACATCAAGGCTCACTTGCCGTCGCTGCTGTATACTGCCATCTATGCGACTCTTGAACGCGTGGGATTACCGTAGTATTTTCGGGCGGCACGGGCCATTTATCGGAACTGCTTTGGCGCTGTCCTCTTCAAGGGTGCCCGGGGGGCCTCCTACGCGTTGCTCCGAGATATCAGGCAAGGTTGCCCTCTCTCGGGTTGTCTTTTTGCCCGTGTGTTCGACCCAGTTTTGCGAGCCCTGGCCTCGAGTGCCCCGCGCATGCCTGGCGGGCGCCCTGTTTCTATCGAAGCTCTCTTGGGCGGAGGATGGGCGAACAGGGCGCGATGCCGAGTGCGGGGTGTATGCCGACGACGTTGGCGCGGGCTTTCCGAGCACCTTTAGATGCGCTTGCTGGAAATCTGGTTGTCTGGCGGCTGGCTGGCAAGGCCTTCGGACAACGCGTGCGCACTCAGCAGAGTCTCGCTCTGTCCCAAGGATTTGACCTTGGGAGTCTCGCTCTGGAACTTCAGGCGTTGGGCCTGGGTAGCACTGGGTTTCGGATCGCGCGCCGCGGCAATTGTCTTGCGCTCGACTTCGGGCGCTGGGCCGCGGCCCGCTCCTGGCAAGGTCCTCTGACCAAGCGCATGCTACGCTCTCGGCGTCGTCATGCTGCCAGAGCGCCTCCCCGCGTCTCTTGAGCGTCGCCCGGCACATCGTTGCAAGTCACGATGTTCTGAGGTTTGAGTCTGACGCGCCTGACTGGCGCCCCGCGGCGCGCAATTGCCACCGGCATTTTTTCGACATCTGGCAGATCTGGCACTGCCGGTGCAGGCTAGGATGCTCTCTGCCACGAGACGTGCCGCGATGTATCGGCTTGCTGTTGCGTCGCCGTCCTTTGAGAAGGTTCGGAGGCCCTTGGCCGCGTATCGTGAAGCCGAAGAATGCGTGATTGCTTTGACTGCCATTGAGTTTTGGACCACCTCGGTTATGCGTCAGGTCTTGCATGATTTCGATGCCCTGAGTGCTACTCCGAATCTTCATTGTGCTCTCGCTTATTAATCGATCGGAATCAAACCATGCCGTGAATGCCTTCACGCGCGCATGCTGCACTTCTTCCCTGGTGCTCCTCCCCTGGCCCGTCTCCAGTACGGACCGTTCTGTGTGTTGCGGCTGGTGGCTCTCGCCCCCTTCTCCGTCGTTGTTGCGGTGGTGAAATCTGTCTGCAACGCCTGGACCACCTCCAGGAGGTTTCCCTGGCCCATTCGTGCGCGTCTCCATTGTTCATGGCGCCAACGTCGCAGAGCGGATTCCGTCCGGAAAACGATAGGATAGGCCTGGAGTGTCCTGGAGAATTTCGCTTCTGATGTCGAGGTGAAGTTCGTGCGGTTTTTGGGGGGCCCGGGATGCAGATTATGAGAAACCCACGCACATTTGACTTCGGCTTGTACTGACAAAAATCCACGCTAGAATCCGTTGCAGGACGTGTGCACGGTCGGCGCAGTGACACTGTGGGGCCCCGGGAGGTGACAGTATGTCATACAGGGCTGGACCTAAATGTTGTTTTGTTGGATTTCGGCTATGGTTTGTTGTTCGTGTTGGCAGGGAGGTGCACCAACAAGGTGAAGCAAAACGAAACGCAACACGAACACAGAACAATAAGCAGCGTTTAGGTCCAGCCCTGATGTCACACACTCTCTCCGGCCCCGCGTATTCCGCGGTGGTTGCTGCGCTGCCCCTCCTTCCCCTCGTCCGTCTTTCGCTGCCTCTGGTCATCGTCCGTGCTCTGTGCAACCGGGAGCTGACCTCCAGTGCTCTGCAGATCGACGCGCTCGATGAGGAGAGGGCGAAGCGAGGATCGAGGCTTTGGCGTGCCCTTCGCCCGTGGCGGCCCCGTCGTCTTTCACGCACGTCGTACTGCTCAAGCCAACCCTCGCTTTCATGGGCGCCCCGCGGCCCTGCGGCCGGCTCGCGCCCGCGCCCGCGTCATCTCTCGCAGGCAGGCGCGTGCCCCTTGCACAGCGGATTCGCGCCGCCCCGTGGTGCTGATCTGAGGGCCTGTCGGACCCTTGTCTTGCTGGGCCCCCCCCCTCACTTTGCTCCCGCCCCATTTTGGTGCTGCTGTGCGAGTTGAGGCTGCGCGTTGCAGTGACCATCGACCAACTGCCCTCTTCTCGCGTCGTGTCCGCTTGCCCCCGGCTTGTCTCTTCTCTTGGCCAGTGCGCTCCTCTTCCTCCTCCACCTCCTCCTCCCTCCTCCTCTTCCTCCCTCCTCCTCCCTCTTTTCCTCCTCCTTATTCTCCTCATCCTTCCCTTCCTCCTCCTCCTCATCATCATCATCACCATCATCATCACCATCATCATCACCATCATCATCATCATCACCATCACCATCGGCATCACCCCATCATCATCACTATCATCAGCATCCTTATTATCATCATCGTGATAATCACCACCATCAACAGTATCATCATCATCATCATCATCATCAGCAGCATCAGCAGCATCAGCATCATAATCATTATCATCATCATCATCAGCAGCAGCAGCAGCAGCATCATCATCATCATCATCATCATCATCATCACCATCACCATCACCATCACCATCACCATCACCATCCCTCCCCTCCTCCCTCCCTCCTTCCCTCCGTCCGCCCTTCTCCTCCTCTCACTCCCTTTCGCCCTCACCCCCTCTGTCGGAGGTGGGCGGAGCTCCCTGTATTCGACTGCGCGCCGAGAGGGGAGGCGAGCGGGCGCAGGCCTCCTCGGAAGGCGGCGGGGGCGTCCCAGCAGGCCCCTTTTCCCGGGGGCAGCTCATC